CACACACAAACACAACCCTCACCTCCAGCTACAGACCAATACGCCTGATTAACTGCAACCTGAAAATAATATGTAAAGCATTACTAACAGTATTAGAAACAGCAATGTAACCAGGTCAAACATATTGTGCATTGTAATAACAATGATGCTAAGATATTGTTTGTGACTTGATTAAAAAACCTACAGCAATTGTTATTATAAATAAGGTTAAAAGATATACAATGAATATGGCTAAAAGCAAGATGAGAAAGGTACAGTGTTATAAATATGTTTAAAAAGATTCAGATGAACAGTTATATTTTGTTTTATTTTGAAGAGCTCATAAGGAAGTGTTAAGAGTAATATTGGTCATTCATTGGTTGAGCTGGGTGGATCAGAGAGACGTGTGGAACGAGGAAGTGAGACTGACTGCATCACTGGATGTCTAAAAGGCTTTCTGATAAAGCAAACTGGACATTTCTTTTCAAGACTATTTGGTTTTGGGGAGTTGTTCAGTCAGTGGATTATTTTTTGGTCTGTCTGTCTGTCTGTCTGTCTGTCTGTCTGTCTGTCTGTCTGTCTGTCTGTCCGTCTGTCTGTCTGTCTGTCTGTCTGTCTGTCTGTCACTGAACTACAGTTTATAGTGGTTCTCATATTTCCTGCTGTGTTCCATTAAAATGAACAATCAGTTGAGTTGAATTCAGACTCACAGACTGGATTTAAGGTCTGAGGACTGCTGTGCTTTTCTTATATTTATAATATGTGGACAGAGAGAGAAGACAGTGTTTTATCCAGACTAATAAAGTGTGACTGGACTCACCTGGTGCTGCAGCCGCCATGATGTCAGTGTGCTGGAAACATCAGAGACTCATTCAACTGAAGACCAACTGCTGCTTTAACAACCTGAAGGAAGAAGAATTAGAATTGAAATGATCTTACTCATTCACACAGCAAAATGTTTGTACAGAGCAAACTGCAGAGTGTCAGTCAGCTTCACAACCTCAGTGGGGATTCAAACTAGCAACCTCTGATTACAGCTGACAACAATGTGAAAGCCTGTGAGAAAAACTGACGGAATTTGATTTATTTATTAACTTCTAAAGCGATACAGGCTTTATAATGTGTGATTACATTTTGTTTCAATGAGTCTCAAGACTTTATTAATAAATAAAGATGATCTAATTTACCTCTGGATACCAAAGGAGATAACGCCGTCCCACAATTCCTTTCTGCAGCAACATTTAAAAGTGAATACAAACAATTAAAAATGACCAAAAAAGTATGCAGATCAACTTCTGCCACAACCTGTTATTATGCTTCTATGTTTGGACTTTGAACAAACGCTACTGTTGTAAAATCTACTTGTTATGAAGTTGTGATCCTGTGTGAAGCACTTTGTAACATTATTACATATTATTAACATTATTATAATAAAGTGAAGTTTATACGTTGCAGTGTAATTTAGTTATTCCTTATAATGGGCTTTGTTGTACTGCAGCCTTTAGGAATATCATTTCATAATTTAACTGTTGAGAGTTAAGTGGTTACGTAGGTTTCCACATAAAGGAATCTGCCTCGTTATCTTGGTACATAACAATAAACTGCACGTCAAGAAGCATAAATACAAAAAATTAAGCTGAACAATAATATATGAAAGATATTACAAAGACATTATGTACAATATGTTATCTATTTTAAATGGAAGATGTACAGTTTGTGCAGGAATGTTTACAAGATCACAATATAAAGAATAAAGAATATTTGCCATGTGCAATAGTAGATTTATATGACTGTAACCTGTATTAATCTTTATTTAAGTTCCAACGTTGACAATTAAGTCATATTTTTGACTGGTTGTCTGCAGATTCTCTCTTTAGTGTAGAGTATTTATGAATTCATGATGTTTACTACAGAGGTCGAGGGAAAGTGTTCAGGAAAGGACATAAAGGACCTACTTTATTTGACAATTTGATCACTTCCTCCAAAGTTTAACTGGCCAAAATGTACAGTAACGAAAAAAATGGTTTAATAATTGGTGGTAAAATGTTGTCATTTTAATTCATATAGCTATAATTTATATTTATATATAGCAGATTGAAAGATTAAATGTGTTATTACCTCTGTTCATGTTTTATTATATTTTACCATTCTTGTGCAACGGGCGCCATCTTGTGGAGCCCCTGCAATCCTGACCGGTGCGCCCCAACATTGGTGTCCAGTTCCTGTTAACGCGTCCGGTTGGTGTCTGTAAGTTAACATTTTATTACATTTTTTATTATTTTACTGTTTTTGGAGCTGACTGCAATAGACCATATTCTTTTGTAACTTCTACATTTATTTCATTTATAGTTAACAGCTGTAGTCAGTCTGCTGTTATCAGGTCCCAGTTTAACGTCTTCTTTTAATCTTTGTATTTAAACATTAAAATGTTGTCTCCAGTAGAAATAAGCGGATCCAGCCTGCAGACAGCGGCCGACTGAGAGTCACTATAAGCCCGCAGAGGGGCTCACTGATGTCGGACAGAGGTGGTATTGACCGGAGACTTCCAGAAAAACGAGGTAACTACCTTCTAAATATTGGATTTTAATCAGGTCGAGGAAGTGACTTTGAAAATTAATTGTTTTTATCCCTCCAAGTTGTTTTTACAAAGAGATAAAAAGGCTCATTTTGTCAGAAAATGAATGTAATTTATTTTGGTCTTATTCCCACTCTTCTTGTTCTTTTTGGAAAGATATTTGGGATTTTATTTCCCAGTATATTGATTATGATTTAACCCTTTTGTGAAAAACAAATTAGCATTTTTCTCTCTTTTCTTCCATCAGAAGAAACCAATACTTTATTTATTTCTTCTGTTTTATCCTACTTCATGCAAAATCACACATCCATAAATCAAAACATTTACAATTATAAACCATCTGTTTCAAGTTATAGCAGATTAAAAGATTAAATTTGCTATTACCGCTGTTCATGTTTTATTATATTTTACCATTCTTGTGCCACGGGCGCCATTTACTCCAATATTGGTGTCCAGTTCCTCTTAATGCGTCCCGTTGGTGTGTCGGTCAGTAACAAACTCCGTTAAAATAGCCTACTTAAATAATTCACTTTTGTGGGTATAAACGTTTTTAATGTTTTTTTTTTTTTTTTAACCCTCATAATACCTTCCCATTGACTATGCAGTTGTTTTCCTCCTTCATGAATTTGACCCCAGTCTGGTTTGACTTGTTTAAATAACATACAGTATAAATTATGATCCAATACTGTGTTTCACCTTATTAGTCAACTCAATACCAACTCATTAACACCAAGCTTGACCCATATTTCTATAATTTAGGGTCAGTAAACTTAATTTATGCAAAATTATATTGCATTTTTTTTGTTTTAAAAACAGCTAAAAATCTGAATAATTTTGACTATAGTTAATATAATAGGAATACATGTTGATTGATTATCACAGTCTGGTATATGTCAAAGTTTAGTCAGGACACTGTTTTGAAAGCATTAAATGTTTTTAATGGTGACACATAATCACACCTATTGTCCTCCGGGGTCAACATTGTTTATGAAGCATAAAATATTAATTATCACCTAATTCTGTGTTTACCTATTTAGTAATCCTTATTCCAACTCATAACGACAAGTTTCACTATTCTTTTTGAAATTCATGGTCAATAAACCACTCATTACATCGAAATACTGTAAACTGAATTATGAATTATTATGGATTATCAGACTGGTATATGTCAAATATTAGCCAGGATATCCCCACAATAGACTGACTGATACAATTTAGGTGCAAAAAAACATTTTGATATTGAAGAGTGAACATTTATTTCCCTAAAGAAGTTTCAATTTTACAAAAATAATTTCGGAAATCATTTTAATTACAAATTCAAAAACCCCAAATAACAATCCCAGTTTGTTTGCGTTTGCATGTGCGTTTGTTTGTGTTTGTGTTTGTGTGTGTGTGTGTGTGTGTGTGTGTGTGTGTGTGTGTGTGTGTGTGTGTGTGTTTCTCTGTGTGTGAATATGCCTTAACTTGCATGAGTGGCAGTGTGTTGTCGTAATGGTGTGTATTTTGCAAATAATTATATGCATGACATTTGGGGCATTTGGTATCAGTCATGCAAGGGCAGAATGAGCACCTTTGTGGTGATGGGTTAGGAGGAGCACCTGGCTGACTAGAGGTTGCTGCAAAGGTAGAAGGTGCATCTTCCACAACCAGTTAAATTATTTTAGTACTATTTTACTGTTTTTGGAGCTGACTGCAATAGACCATATTCACTTGTAACTTCTACATTTATTTCATTTATAGTTAACAGCTGTAGTCAGTCTGCTGTTATCAGGTCCCAGTTTAACGTCTTCTTTTAATCTTTGTATTTAAACATTAAAATGTTCCGGTTTGTGTCTCCAGTAGAAATAAGCGGATCCAGCCTGCAGACAGCGGCCGACTGAGACTCACTATAAGCCCGCAAAGGGGCTCACTGATGTCGGACAGAGGTGGTATTGACCGGAGACTTCCAGAAAAACGAGGTAACTACCTTCTAAATATTGGATTTTAATCAGGTCGAGGAAGTGACTTTGAAAATTAATTGTTTTTATCCCTCCAAGTTGTTTTTACAAAGAGATAAAAAGGCTCATTTTGTCAGAAAATGAATGTAATTTATTTTGGTCTTATCCCCACTCTTCTTGTTCTTTTTGGAAAGATATTTGGGATTTTATTTCCCAGTATATTGATTATGATTTTACCCTTTTGTGTAAAAAAAAATTAGCATTCTTCTCTCTTTTCTTCCATCAGAAGAAACCAATACTTTATCATCCGTTTTTATACAAAATCACACATCCATAAATCAAAAGGTTCCAATTATAAACCATCTGTTTCAAGTTTTGAAAATGAAGTCAAACAATACATTACATTTCTCCGATATTCTAAAATAAGAAAGCAGTTTATTTGTTGTGAAATTTTTACATAAACGTCGTCAAATAATCACGGTCAGAGAAAACGAAATAAATGAACAAGATAAAATTGTATTCCTTTATTTTTTTATACAATTTATTTGCATCTGCACAGGACACAAGCAAACCAAGTTTCCTCGAGATCAACTGATCTTACTAAAACAGGTCGCATCCATTTATACCTTTCTACTAGACACTATCCAATCACATCATGAGTGCATGTACATGTTATGATCCTACAACTTCCTATATGAAATGCTTAGTACACCCACACATTGATCCCTTGTACCTTATGAAGAATGTGTCACCTATAGGGGAGTATCATCCAGGTTTCACTGTCCTTTATAATCCTCTATAGCAGATACTAGATTTTTACATTCTGTTTATTTAATTTCCTCTACACCAGCAGCGTTTACTCTCTTCATTAGTGTATGTGAATTCCCTTATGCAGAAACTGTTAAGATATGAAGTATTATTGTTTGCTCCATAGAACATCAACCCAGGGTGCATTTTCACCACTACAATACAGATATAAACAAGAATGTAAAAAAGTATTCAGTACAATAACATGTATACAATATGCAAGTATATACTTATTTGAAATAATAATCAATTTAACAAATGGTGATACTAATTATTCTGCAAATACAGCCTCCTTGGAACTTTAATTTATTGATTGTAAAACAGTTAACAGCTGCAACAGTTAGTTAGCCCCGGTGCCAATCACACACCACAAAGTATATGGAAACAAAGCAATGTGAATGCATATAAAAAAAAACAAGTTGCCTTTGATTTTCAATTAATTATAGAAATGTTTTTTTTAGAAAAGCAGCTTTCATAGCTTTCATAGCTGCTTTTCAGCCATTTTAGGCCGCAATAATCCCACAAACAAGCCTGCAAAATCTGATTTACTTAAAAAGAAATCAAATGATAACATAGCATTATAGCATTAATAGCCCAGACACTTATTCAAATTATGTTCCATTTGACAACACAACAATGATCAAGAGTCAGTGGGGAGATCAGAGGATCATACATTTCTCTTTGTATTTCTGTTGTAAGACATTAACTTCTTGTTCATGTTGTTTCTTCAACTCCTCCATTTGTTTTTTCAGTTCTTTTTCATTGTCAGCTGAGCAGGTTTTTAACTGAATGCACTCTTCGTCTTGTCTCATATGCTTTTTCTTCAAGTCCTCCATTTGTTCTTTCAGTTCTTTTTCATTGTGACTTGAGAGGTCTCTTAACAGATTGTACTCTTTTCCAAGGCTCTCTTCTGTCTCTTGCATTTGACTCTCATATTTTTCCTTCAGTTCCTGTATTTCCTCCATGTGTTTTTCTACCAACGCTGCAAAATCCTTGGTGTATTTCTGTCTGAACTCATTGAATTCTTCAGCTTGTTTTCTGGCCTCCTCTTCATATTTCTTCTTCATATCCTCTAGTTTTTTCTTATAGTTTTCCTCCAATTCTTTTCTCTCCTTCTCCTCTTCTTCTCTTCTGATTTCATCCTCTTCTTTTCTTTTATTTTCATGTTTTTCTCTCTCCTGTTCGTATTCTTCTTGGAGCTTTTTAAGTTTTTCTCGTTCCTCCTGTCGTCTCTGTTCATCTTCTCGATATCGATTCCCCCACCATTTTTTTCTTTCTTTCTCCCAGTGCTTTCGTTGCTTTCTCATCTCTTCTCTACTCAGCTCCAACTCTCTGTCAATGGTTTCCTTTTCCTTTGATTCAGACTTGATTTTTTTCTCCAGAGCTTCAAGTTTTTGCTCCCACTCCAGTTGTTGAAGTTCTTCCTGTCCTTTTCTATTCCTGTCCTCTTCTTCTCTCTTTTCTTGTTCTTTCTTTCTCTCCTCACGCTCCTTGTTGATGTTTTTCTCCATTTCTTTAAGATGTTTTGTTCTCAGTTTTCTCTCCTGTTCAATTTCTGCTTTCTGTTCTTCCATTCTTCTTTTCATTTCTTCCATTTCCTCCTCATGTTTTCTTTGAAGCTCTTCTTTTTGTCTCTGCATTTCTTCTTCTTTGTCCTTCAAGATCCTGTCGACTTCCTTCTGTATCGCTGCCTCGGCCTCTTGGAACATCTCTGAGGTGTAGCAGCTGCCACCATTTTCCTTCATCATTTTGTTGGACTTTGTCAATAACTCTCTGACTTGTGTGCGGTCTGTCTTATTCTTATTGTTGAAGACCTGGTATCTTCCTCCACAGTCAGTTAGCAGTTTTTTTAAACAGCCATCACGGTCTCCTTCTACATAACTCTCAACTGACTGATCTTCCAGTTCATCTCCTCGAGTGAATATAATGATGATGAAATCTCCTGAATTCTTGCCAAAGCATTTCTTGATCAGTTCCACAGAGTCTTTTTCCTCCTGTGTAAAGCGACCGATCTGCAGCACCAGTAAGATGACATGAGGTCCAGGAGACAACAGGCTGATGCATTTCACAAGCTCCTGTTGAACGTCATTATTGGACAGAGTCGTGTCAAACAAACCAGGAGTGTCAACCACAACAACAGGCCATCCATCAATGTCTCCTGATGCTTTTTCACAAAACCTGGTCACAGAACTTGAGCAGGCTTTAGATTTAAAATGTCCTTTACCCAAAATGGTGTTTCCAGTTGCACTCTTCCCATTGCCAGTCTTCCCAATCAGCACCATCCTGAGACTCTCTCTGTTCAGATTTTTGTCATCCATTTCCATCTCACTTTTCTTTTGAACATCTTTCAGTTTAGCCTTAAGTCTTGTGACCATCTCCATCTGAGCCTTGGTGAACATGTCCTTTGTGAAACATCTGGATCCTTCAATTCCCATCTTTTCCACAGCTTCCAACAACCATGGGATCTGCTGCTTGTTCTTGATGTTCAGAACAAAATATCTTCTTCCACAGCTCTGAAGGAGCTCCTTGATGTCTCTGTTCTTACTTACAAAGTTAACAACAGCTGGAGCTGTAGGATCTGAGTCCACAGGGAACAGAATCATGGTGAAGTCATTAACTCGAGAGCTGAATGTGTTCTGGATGGTCTTTAACTCTCCCTTGTCTTCATCAGTGAGGGGCCCCACAGGTAGGACCAGGATGAAGGCATGGACGCCCTCAGGATCACAGAGGGAGATACTCCTGAGTGATTCCTCCATCACTGCCTCCTGAGGTTCTCCATACAAGGCAGGCAGCTCCACCAGGGAAACCCAACGTCCACACACCTCTCCCTGATGTTTAACACACTCTGATGAGTTGGAGACTGAATGAAACTCTGTCTGACCTAAAATGGCCTCGGCTGCTGAAGTCTTCCCTGCTCCTCTCCTCCCACACAGAACCAGGTTTAAAGCTGGTTTGATGGGTTCAGACTCAGACAGTGGGGTTTCATTGCTCATATTTGCTGTTTCTTTAATCTTCTCCATTAACAATGTGTGGTTGTTTTCACCCATCCTGTAGTGTCTTCCTACACAGTCTTTAAGGAGTTCATTAACAGAGAAACTCATTTCATTCCCCTCATGTGTCATGATGACCATTGAGTATTTTAAAGCATCTTGACCAAACAAACCCAGGATGAACTTCAGTGTTTGTCTGTTCTTCTCAGTGAAATCAAAAGGTTTCACTAACAGCAGAAGAACATTTGGTCCAGGAGGACATAGAGTCACACAGTTCTTCATCTCTCTTCTCACGGCCTCCACAGACAGACTGAAGATGTCTGGAGTTTTCACCACTATTAATGGTTGTCCTCTCCACTCTCCACAGGTAGCTACACATTGCCTGGTTGGGGAAGTTCTTTGATAATGAAAAGTTTGGTTCCTGATGATGAAATTACCAAGTTTTGTCTGTTTGTCCTCACTTTTTCCCAGCAGCACAATCCTGAGTCCAGATGCTGTAATACAACAGAGAGAAAGATAAAATGTCATAAACTCACTGTGAGGCTCAAATCACTTTCTTACATGAGGAGATCTCTTCAGTCATTTACAGAGTTGACAATGTTCTGGTTCAATTCATAGAGCCAATATTTAGTTAATGTTTAATAAAAGAAATCACATTTGAAAAGATGTAATGGCACCACCATCATAAACATTAAATTGAAATTATTTTTTTTTGTCTGTATGTTGTTGTTTTTTTTTTTATTTGCATATATGTTAAACAAGAACATTTGGGTATTTTTAGGGAAAGGCCCACATTTCCCCCCAAAAAAATTTAAGAATCCAAAATTTCTAAATATAAATGTAACAGGTAAAAAGATATGTGGAATGATGCAAGATTAAATTGTTTTGGGTTTTTGTATTTTCATAGTTAATAATTAAAAAAATTCCACTACTAATCCATGTGCAAATATATGATTAACACTGTGATAAATGTACTTACTGTGAGTCAACAGCTTTTTCTCTGAGAGTGAGACTTGTGCAGTTATTCCTGTAAAAAGATGATATATATTTTTTGCAGCATAATGTTCTAATTCAAAGAAGATTTGTGTGAACAAAGTTTTCATTGTCAGAATAGTTTCTGCACTTACCAGCAGCTTTAACAGCATCTGTGATAGAACTCTGAGTTTCCTTTTGTTTTGGACTTTGATGATCACCTGGTAAAGTAGCTGTTGGGTCCTCAAATACATCACAGCTGACATATTCTCCATTATTCTCCCTCACAATTTGAACCAAGCGTGTTAACAGCTCTGAATGTTCAAGATTCTTCAGCTTCAAATATCTGAATCTACATTTTCTGATCATGTCTTTTAATGGAGGACGTTCCAGGTATTTTTCCATCAACCCTGGACTCTCCTCTCTGGGTGTTGATATCAGAACCAGAGAATGATCAAATGATTGATCACTGAAGAGTTCAAGGATTGATTGTAGTCTCAGTTTGTGTTCCTCAGTGAAGTCTTCAGGCTGTAGAACCAGCAGGAACACATGAGGTCCAGGATCAGAGAGTCTCACACAGTCTTTCACATGTTCCATCAGTTTGTGTTGAGAGATGTTGGGATGCAGCAGATCTTCAGTGTTGATCAGAACTACCTTTTTCTCCTCCAATGGTCCACTGATTTGCAGAGAACATTTAGGTGCTTTGTTGAACACAGTCTGTCCCAGTATGAAGTTCCCCACTGAACTCCTCTCAGACCAGCTGTTCCCCAGCAGAACAACCCTCAGCTCAGACACTGAAAAACAAAGATTTAGAAAAGATGTAAACTTTCTGTTACTTACTTACAGAAATGCTGTAAACTCAGATATTCTTAAGTATCAGGATACCACAGTTCAGTTTCACTCACTGCAAGGTGGCAAATAAACAAAGCTGTTTTTGCGCTTCCGCGGACGCAGATCATCTGTGATTGAAAGGACACAGCATTAATTTACTTTAGAGTCCACTTGGATCAGCTACAGTATATGATACATGACACACAGATCATTGGCCAGATGCAGTTCCACCACTCAGAAGAAAAAGTGATTTGTAATAGAACAGCTGACATTATGTGCAACCATTTATAGACATTACAAAGTGCTTCATAATTCAGGATCAAGATCATTAACAGGGTGATGATGGCGAATGTAAATAAAAACAATGATAAAATGAATTCATTCAATGATAAAATAAATCAGCTGAGTTGAATTCAGACTCACAGACTGGATTTAAGGTCTGAGGACTGCTGTGCTTTTCTTATATTTATAATATGTGGACAGAGAGAGAAGACAGTCTTTTATCCAGACTAATAAAGTGTGACTGGACTCACCTGGTGCTGCAGCCGCCATGATGTCAGTGTGCTGGAAACATCAGAGACTCATTCAACTGAAGACCAACTGCTGCTTTAACAACCTGAAGGAAGAAGAATTAGAATTGAAATGATCTTACTCATTCACACAGCAAAATGTTTGTACAGAGCAAACTGCAGTCTCAGTCAGCTTCACAACATGAAAATGATTTCTCTGAGCAACACGGAGCCCAGTTGTGTTTCTACAACAATGTGAAGGCCTGTGTGTGTTTGTGATGAAAAAAAGTGTCTGTATTTCCCTAAAATTAAGGAAGGGGAAAAAATCTTCAATTTGATTCAAATGAAATACTGATATCTATGTTCAAGATAAAACTTCTGCTTTTGTTGTTATTTATTTGCCCTTTTGTGCCAGGGAAACAAAGAAATCCACAAAGATGAGAATCTCTGCCTATTTCTCTTCTCATCTGAGATTTCAGATGCAGATCTGAACAGCCGCTCACTCTTTGTGCTGCTGAATGGAGCACATCAGTGTTTGAGTGTTAAGTTGTGCCAGTGCTGGAAAACGGAGGTGATTTTATTGTCAGTGTCTGACTGGAAATAACCAACATAACATTTAGACAGAGCAAGATTAATTATTCTCATCCTATTTGCAGAAAGGTCAATATCAACAAGGAGAATATCGGCCGATACTGATGTTCAGCATCCCTAAATTCATGCGACACAGGGTGAGTAACTGATAACTGATATTTTGGGTTCCTATATGTTATTTAGCGTGTGACAATGACACAAACAACACTGACAACACAGCCCATCAGCCCAAGTGTCCGTCACAGTGGATGGCCGTAGACGAGGTTGCACGACCGTCTGGTTTAACAGTAGAGCTGTTAAGCTGCACTTGGTTTGATGAAGGTAAAATGTGTGACAAGCAGCATTATACTGATATTAAATATAAATAAGATTCAGATTCTGGTGGTTTCACAGTATATCACGGTATGCTTTGTGTTGCAAACAGAACCTTTATATAGGTTTGTATTGGTTTATTCTACTGCCAGGAGTATACAAAATGTAAAGATATTTACATTTACAGCCATCATGTATACTGAATACTGAAGGCTTTGATTACTATAGGGTTACTGTAGGGCTGCACTGTAGTAAAAACAGAGCTCAATAAAATAAATGCCATCAACTTTAACATTGCTTCCTTTTTAAAGCTAAAGATTTTACAATAGTTGTATACACACTATAAACTGAAATACTCAGTATGTATGTAAGTATTCAGAGACATTTTTCAAATTTCTCTATTGCACAAGAAACAAATGAGTCGTTCCAGCTCTGCACTGGTCTGTATATATGAACAACTTAACACATAATAGATATAAAACATGTATTATCTCTATTATGCAGATCAAAGCTGTCTAATTAATGAGACTGAGTCTCTCATATGTAGCTTAGGTTAAAAAAAATACATATTTATACTATTAAAAAATGTCTGAGCAGCTCTACTTCCTCCTCCTCTCATAATCTCTAAAATGGCATCTCCTCCCTTCAGCCTACAAGTTTCTAGAAGCTTTAGTCCCAGTGTGTCAGTAAATCTCCTCATTCCAGAGAGATTGTGCAGATTAAACACAGACTGAAAACATATGAGGAGCTCTCGGTTGAGCCTAGAACACACAGACAACAGTGGACTGACGGAGGAGGGTTCACTCACCTGCTGGATGTCTTGCTGTGACACAACCATCAGTGAAAGTGAAAGTTAAAAACACTCACTGGGTCAATGGTGTCTCTGTAGATCGGAGACTCTGAATGGGTGGACTTACTATCAATCATTGTTTTAGTTGGCCAATTAGAGGCTTACAATCCTCTTTTTAGTCCAGTCCCATTTCTAATTCCGGGAATACATTTAGGAAGTGGTAGATAGATTAATGCTGAGAGAGTGTTTCTGCTGCTGAACTGCTGCTGCCAGCCCCGTCTTTCTATACTGAGTTTGCCTTTGATAAATACAGTACAATAAAAACACTGTTAACATATTAATGGATGTGTGCACAGAAAGGCCAGAGAGCTTTTAATCTCAAACAGATACAGGAGGTGTTTGAGTTTAAAATACATTTATATTTATTCAATATATCCCATTATAGACACTGGAACTGCAGTGAGAGGTGGACCCTTTCACTTTCTCTAATATTCTTAGTTGATGTTAACTGATGTCTTTTCAAGTAGCTGTCTTCCATCACCATCTGGTACGCTGCCACTGCCAAGGACAAGGGCAGACTCCAGCGCATCATTCGATCTGCTGACAAGCTGATCAGCTGCGAGCTCATGCAGGCTCCTGTCTTTATAGGCTACACCCATGCTGTGTGTCCCCCAGACCTGGTCCTGACCTCCCTTGGGCCCTAAGCAAAATTGACACACCTGACATCCCAGTGCTCCCACTACAATCCTCCCTCCTTTAAAACTGTTTGCTCCATCAGTCCAGTGCTCACAACATTATAAAATGTTCTTTGTATATACAATGTGAACAGAAGTCTTCAGGCTCTGACTGCAGCTTTAAGTCTCACAATATCTGCATTCAAGTGGCTCCCCCAGATTTCCTGCTATATACTTTAAAATATAAAATACTATTTATACTACGGCTTGACCGAACACTTGATGGTTATTATTTACTGAGAGATGTGGATCCATATTGCCCAGTAATCAGCATTTTAAATTCAATATTTAATCAATAGTGTAAGTGTGTGTTGCAAAAACCCACTTTTTAAACCTTACAGCTGACACTTCAAACAGAGAACAAGTCTGAAGGTGCAGTGGAAACACTTCTTATCACTGATATGAGTCAGAATAATATATCTGTAATCCCTGCTGCAGTAAAATGTATATTAGACATCATTATGCAACATTAAAGTTCAAATGTATTGAACAGCATGAAGAGAAAGCGTAGAAAGAGTCAGTGATTCAGAGAGTTAAACACAGACAGATGTGCAGTAGAAGCTCTAAAACAGACTTCAGGTCAGTAGTTAATGTACGAGCGCCACCTGCCAGACAAAACCCTGTCTTAATGGTTTTATTTTGTGTCAGAGGTGTTGATTCAGCTCTGTGGTTTCTTTGGAGGCTGCAGATTTTGTTTTGGTCTTTCAGTCAGTGAAGACCTACAGTGATGTTTGCTGATGGTTTCCTGTGTTGGACATACACATACGTATGTATGTTTACTCATGATAAATGAGTCTTTTCCTCTTATAACATCACATCCTCTCTCTGTGTCTCAGACTGATGCAGCAGCAGTCCAGACACTGGCTCTCTGACTTTGTGTTGCTTTAACAAAACAGTAATTCCTCTTAAAGCTGACCTTTACTGGTAAAATGAAATGCAGCTTGTGTAGCTAATTGTCATTCAAAGGGTGGAAGAGGATAACAGAAAGCATAACATGAGTTTTCAGGGAAAATCTCAAAAGTCATAGGATTAAGGTGCACACTGTACTAACTGCAGCGTCCCCAGTTTGAGTCCTGCTGGGTACCTTTGTAACTCTCCTTTCTTTTCACCTCTCCTCTGTCTATTATAAAGGCACAAACAAAGAATAACTTTGTAAATATTAAAAATTGACTCTCTAAGAGGTGAAACAAGCCAAAGCCCCCCCCCCATATTTAGATGATGCAGCATTTATTTTTCTTTTCAGCATGTTTTAGTTTCCTGTTTTCCAGTTCTTGTTTCAGTTTTTTTAAATATCTTCTTGACTTAGTTCCCCATGTTGTTTAGCTCTCTGATTTCTCTCCCTCCATAGTCATTCATTAGGTGTTTGATGAAATTATGATAATCTTTGATATACCTCTCAAATGACTGATCTCCCAGTTCATTCCTCTGGTGAATACAACAATGATGAATGTGAATGTCTAAAGCTCCTAAACTGCTGTAGCGGTACGAACACATGAGGTCTAGGACACAATGGGCTCATGCCTATTGAACAATGCGTGGGTGTTGACCACAGCTACAGGTCGGCCATCAATCTCTCCTGCTGCTATCATGCCCCAGGTGGTAATTTTATGTAACAACTTTATTTTGGAAAATGTGCCATGTGAAAAAAACACAATCTAAAATAATAAAGGCCTTCTACTGACAAGATTAGATTCAAACACTACCCTGGACCTTCTGGCAGTTTGTCCAGTTGGTAATTCAGCCTTTATGATCATCTTTCACACGTGCTGTGAAGGCTTCAGTACTAAAATAATTTGTATTAATTTTATATAAACCAAGACCCTGATGGTGTGTACTGTTTGTAAGAAAAATTATAAAAGTCCAGCGATTCACTTTTTCTAATAAGGTTTTAAGTCATCAAATGTCTGGCTCACAAATAGTTCATTAACAAGAGAATTATCTGTGTGAAAACGAAAGTTAGTACAGAAAGACATCATTCCTTTAGTCCTGAGTACAGTCGACTATTACTGTAGGAACCTGAGGTATGTGGCTATAATGTGTTTAAAGTATTTTCTACAATTTCTCATTTTAATTATTCCTCCCACGGTGTCTCCTGTGAGCTCTGTTCTGTTTCATCAGTTTATCTGTGTGGAGTCTGTTTGACTTCAGCATTTAACAAGAGTCACAGTGAACTACAGGGAAACACTTTATTCATCTTTTATAATGATAAACACAGAAACCAAAGATCAAACACAGAACATACAATTAAAGATTCATCTGAATTCTGTCTTAAGTTGATGTCATCAGTTATAAAGCATCTATTCTTATTGGACATGTAACAAAACAGAGAAACATCAAAGCATTCATTGTCTATAAAGTCATTCTTTATCATTCTGATTCATCTGATGAGCAGTTTAAATGATATTCAGCTTGGATTCATATTTAATATTTGCTGTGATATTTGTGATTTGGGTGTTGCAGAGAAAACAGAGTGAATGACATCTAAACATTTCATTTCACTCACAAACATCATTTTCTTTCTCATATTCAAAAGAAAACAAAGATCATCTCTAATGACCAAACAGAGCTTCCAGCTGCTGAAGTCTTTCTTTACTGAGCTGTTGTCTGGTTTTAATCCGTCAATAATTACATTAATAATTAGGAACAAATACATCATATCATAAAGATTTTCTACAGACTGAAACTTGTTTACAATAATCAAATTATACATTATCATTATCTCTACAACATAATGCAGATTTTATAAAACTTTATAGGAAACAAACTTAAAACAAAACCACACCAATGATTGTACAGAGTCAATGAGTTATTAACTGTTTAAAGCCTCATTTATCACGAGACAGAACAGACTGAAATCAACACACCAAAATAAAAGTGAACAATAGATACAGTTTTATATGATGAACAATGAATACAACAGAAATAATAAAATGCAAAACATAAAAAAAATAAAAGTCGATATAAAAATAAACAAATAATGTACATGTACATGTGATGATTAAAATGTAAAAACTAAGACTATAACATTACTCCAAAGAACTGGTATCATCTGACCCACAGTGACTGCTGCTGTGTTTCTGTTCAATGTTGAATATTACTATGAAATCTTTCCTTCTTTAAAGTTTCACTGATTGAAAATGAAAGTAGAAAAAAGGAAACTTCTGAAACTGATCTGTTGTTGTGACGTTTACATCGAACAAATCTGCTCATAAAATACAACATGAATCGTCTTCATTCTCTCTTTTTGGTCAAACATTTCACTATGTTACAAATTTCACTTTGATGTTTTTCCCTCATTTGTGACTTTAAGATATTATATTGTTGATCTTTGTCTTTCATTTGTTTCTCATGTTCTTCCTTCAGAGCTGCAGATTCCTTTTTGTATTTCTCTTTGAATTCATTGAACTCTTCAGCTTTCTCTCTGGCTTCTTCTTCATATGTCTTCTTCAGTTTCTCGAGTTTTTTCTTATAGTTCTCCTCAATGTCTTTTTTCTCTTTTTCCTCTTTTTCTCTTCTGATTCGATCCTCTTCTTTTCTTTTCTTTCTTCTCTTTCCTGTTCGTATTCTTCTTGAAGTTTTCTAAGTTTTGTTTGTTCCTCCCGTTTTTTTCTTTTCATTTTCTTGATATCGTTGGTGCACCCGATCTGACTGTTATCATACCATTGAATCAGCGTTATCCTGATACAATCATCCCACAGATAGGGGCCAGTAGGGGTCTACTCTACCTACTAGTAGGTGCAGGAGGCAGTTATCCCCCATTCATCTGGCTGATCCAATACTATTCAAACCCAGCAGGTACAGAAGGTGTGTTATCCAGCAGAGCAGTCACGTGACTGTCAGATTTCTGTCTGCGGAAAAATTCAAAATGGCTTCATTTTCTTTTATTTTCAGTGGAAAAACAACATTTTAAGATATTTTTGGCATTAGAGTTTGTTGTGATAACCGTGACACTGTCAAGTTAGCAACAACACAACAACACATTTACCCACATCCGGTGGACTGAATTAGCAAAATAAATATGCCCTTTCAAAATAAAGCCAGAAGAGAATATTTTAGGAGCAAGAGTAACGTTAATACTAAAGACACTAGTGGTACATAAATGCATATTTTATTAATCAAATGCTTAAACATCAGCTTTTATTTTTGATTTCTCTGCCGTTGCGTGTCGACGTCATCTTCTCCGACGCGACGCGCACGTTGGATACGGTACCCTTTAACTTGGATGTCACGTGGCGGTAAGATACGTTTGGTTAAAAATTCAACCACAAAGTAAATAACAACAATGCTTAGTTTTTACATATGTTTGTGATTTGCCTGTAAAAACTCAAAAGCTTTGCATGTTAGTTAACTAAACTTAAACGCAACTAAAGTTAGCTCCTAGTAACTAACGTTAGCAGGCTCACCCTCTATTTCCATCCCACTCACACATTGTGAGTGTGTCTGTGTGTGTCTGTGTGTGTCTGTGTGTGGGGATGAGTTCGCAAGAACAACGCCACATTCTGGAAAGCTTGGAGGAGCTGGTGGAGCAGCAGGAGTTTGAGGACCTCCTTCAGACAGGGGCAGCAGCAGCTCCTCAACCCCCGGTGAAGGTGAGGTGGCGGAGAGGGACGCGGATCCAGACATGGTTAGTATTTTATATTCTAGATATTTAAAATGGTTTCAGTCCTGAATGTCAGTGTGGGCCAGTGGCAGGGATAACGTGCAACACTGTCAATGGACTACAGGACCATCAGTTGCCCATAAATATGTAAAGTACACCAAAATGTTATTTATCAAAGTTTTAAGCTAAATACCACCAGGTCAGATCAATGTGTCATCTCTGATAGATCTCAAATCCTGAAAAATAAAGAAATACTTTTTGCTGTAAGCATGATTTGGCTAACATGAGTTACATTTTTTATGTAGGAGGTCTTGGAGCCTCTTTTCCAACAGAAGACCCACGCCCCACCCAAAAAATGAAATAGGAAAACTGTACTGTATAGTATAAATGTAGATCGCATACAGGTATCTTTAAAACAAATGGAAGTGTTAGACAAATATATGCTGCTCTAAGAGGTGTTTATGTTTTTTCTGCATTACAGCTGAACGCCGTTGTAAGACCGGTCTCACCTCACACCCTCATGTAGAGGGGACCTTTGCTCCAGAGACTGCTTCACACATATATTCTGCTGGTGTGTGTTTCATTAGATATGTTCTGTGTATAATGTCTTGTACCTAGTATCTGCAAAATGAGCTATTGAACAAAACAAAGTCTCCAAAACAAGCTTTATGACAACGTTTCTCCCTGTTGATATGCAATTGCCAAGCACCATTCTCATTGTTATATATGTTATATCTGTCATATAACAACATTTTCTTCTTATCTGTGTAACAATGAAGTCCATGTTTTTGCTAGTTGTATGCATATGATACAAAGACAACCTTGGGCCCCTTCTAACTACTCCATGTATTTCTTTTACAATTGCAATAGAATGTCTTTTGCAAGATCTGCAACCCTCCCTGAGCTGCTCTGATGAAGAGCTTAGTGAAGCATCAGCAGACCAAAGAGCTCCTCTGGCTTCTCTGGATTGGAGCATTCGCAATGCTCTCTTTTCAGAGAGATGGAGGGAAAAGAGACCATCTCTTCTTAGTAGCATGCTGGCCAAAGAGAGTATGGCAACAAATGGCTGGTTGTAAATGTAAATATTACCTTGTAGGACGGTATGATCTCAACATGCCGGAGCTGACCTGCGAGGGATGCCCGGCAACTTGGACCGCAGGACTTGATGACCTGATAAAAAGTGGATACTGGCCTGCCCCCCTTCATTTTGTAACAATTTATGAGACAGACCTGTTTTATACGTTTGAAGACATGAAGATGGCATCACCCGGGATGTCTTTTCAGGCATATCTAAGAATGCTTGAGAAGCGGACTGCTCGCTTTGGCCGTGTAAGTATTTCTCTATATGTTTGTGTTTTTAAATGGAAAGGTCTTTGTTTAAAAAATTGTTTTGTGCTTTTTCTTTTTTACATAGACTGGGAAGATCTCATCAGACAGCTTCCAAAAAAGCTTTTTTTGAATGGGCTGCTGTACAATATGAGGTTGACTCCACCTGCAAGGAGGAGAAATTCATCTGTCCTGCCTGTACCCAGCAATGCTTTCTGTCTCGGTGGATGGAAACCGCAAGCGTTACCGCTTCAAAAGTACTGCAAGGTATACAATAATGTACAGATAGATAGTTATGTTTTATACAACAAGTAACCTTTCGATGTATGACATGTTAAAAAGATAGTTAAGTTGTTCTGAAGTGTGGTTGTATGAGGTACTTATCCATGGTCAGTCTGTTACCTACAGCAGACAATGGTCACCGCCACCCATCCCCTGCCTGTATTGTGGAGAAGCAGAAAAATGTGTTTTAGCCACATATAAAAGGCCCGCCTGAAAAAAAACAATATCCAGGATTGTAGTTGGGGTTAGATGTAGAAATATGCATTTCTACAGTTGAGACAATTTAGTGCCAAGGAAAAGGGCTGTCTGAACACTGTACTGTAGGTAACACACTTACTATGGATAAGTACCTTATACCATCCCACTTCAGAGTACTCAACTATCCTTTTAAACATTGAAGCCTTTTTATTTCTTGTTGTTTTTTTAGATCTCAGGAGCGGGCCATCTTTGACGGTGTCTTCATTGCAAAAGATGACGATGTGACCAGATTTGTGGATCACATCCACAGCAAAAAAAAAAAAAACATGTAATAGCAGACTTCAATTTCTATCTCAATATAACATTATAATTCATAGTCTGTCAGTACTCCCATGTATTGTGATATCTACCTGTATACCTAATTGTTCTTAATCTGCTAACACTTATCTGTTCCTTGTCCCCTAAGAGAAATTTACAATTGTTCCCTGTAATGACTGTTGATGGGATTATTTGTCAATTATGATTTTCTACAATGTAGGTCACTGGAAGGAGCAATTGTGGTGGGGAGGGGTCGGCTGCCAGAGAGACCTCCCAAAGATCAATCAGTAAGGTGGATGAGGAGTGACTGGAGCTGGCAGTGTGCAGGCATGATGTCTTGCTGGCTGCCCTTAATATGTTTGTACATGCTAAAGCGCATGACTTCAAATGTGAGGTTAGTATAATACAGTACATTTTATCAAATGACTTGCAATCCTATGAATGATGCATATAAATGTGTAATGTTTAACTATCACTTAACAGATTATTTAACATTTGTATTGTTATAGTTGTTGATGTGAACACCCCTTAATTGACACATGTACTTTTGTCAAGGATATTATTTTGCACCTGTATGTTTGTTGGTAAGCAAGATTACTCATGAGGTTTACCACTAATGTACACACAACTTGGTGGAAGGGTGACAGTTTGATTTTTGATTAGGTTTTAATTGAAATAAAAGTGACTGTTGGGCATTGCTTGAGGTCTCTGCTGTACTAAATTCCCTTGATGTTTATGTTTGGGTCCCTCTCTCCAGGTGAAATGGAGTGGCACAAACCAAGAAGGTGCTGGTAAAACACTAGGGGAGGAAGTAGAGCAATGTAAAGCTTCCCTCTCCAGGATATCAGTCACCACAAAGCATATGTCAGAAGCAGGTGCTGTATAATTGTACCTCTGTATACAGAATAAAAGACATTTATATTATTACAAGTGAATCTTTACAGAACTCATCTCTGTGTACTTGCAGGACGCAATGACATGCTGACACTCCTGGCCATAAGATGGAACCAGCAGAAATGTCCAAACCTGGCTACTGGACTTTCCCAGAGATACCATAAGGTAAATAGAAACAATATTGCTGCAATGGCACAGTGTAGGTCAATGAAACACACATACAGTTTTGTGCACATAGGCTTGTGATACATGATAGTTACAACATTTTTGCCTGATTTGAGTTGCATTTGTACACTGTATATGTTGTACTGACTTTTAGCTTATGGTAATAATTTTGTCATTTTAGACATCTAAAGCTTTCAATATCCCGATTGGGGACCTGGAAACCCTGAAAGCCCAGCATCAACTGGGTGAACAAACTGTGGAAGAATTTGTGCAAGAAGTAAAAGAATGGGCCGATGATAAGAACGTGAAACATTATCTGACATGGAGAAACATTTGTGTCGTTTGTGAAGTTGACGCTACCTGCAATCAATTTTGTCAGGAGAAATTGACCATCAAGGCACACCACAAGCTTTGTGTAAGAAGATTGAGGCCTTCACAACCAGCATCAACACGAGAGCTCAACTCCTATACTGGAAAAATGGTATGTTAACATTTAAGGCCTTTTCAGATCACAGTCTGAAATGTCTCCAAACTCACTTCATAATTACAATGTCCATACAGTTCTAAAAAGTAATGTTTCATGTGTTGGACTTCTCCAAAACAAATTGATTTGCGTTCAGATATTATAAGTACATCTATTATGATCCATCTGTTTGGCAAATGTATTGTCATTCTGTTGTTACAGCTGTAACTTAAACAAGATCATTGACTTAGTGTATTTAAAAGATATAATGTGGGTGTATTTTTTTCTTTGGTTTTCAGACCGCAACAAAGGCCGACATAGAATTCGCAGAAAAATAAGGCAACAGAAGACCACTTTGAAGGCCATGGTAGCGGAGTACAACAGTCTCGTTGCATGGATAGCGTTCTGGACACAGAATATTCCTGGCCTTGGCAAATTACACAGAGTGGAATGCATTTCATGTACTGTGCGTATTCTTTAGTGGTGGAAGAAGTATCATATCCTTTACTTAAAAGCATAAAGTCTATTTACAAAGTAAAAAATACTGATAATACAACGTAAAAATACTCTGATCACAAGTAAAATATTCAGTATAATCAGTTAAGTATACTTAAAGCACTAAAAGTTGAAGTTGTCGTGAAGATGTAGTGTAAGAAGAAAGTAGCATAAAAAGAAAAGTGCCAGTACCTCAAATTTATACTAAAGCACAGTACTTTAGGGAATACACATTTCATCATTAGTATTCTTACATTTAGGTGTTCCAGTGGACATATTTGCATTCTGACCAAGTGTGCATATGTATGACAGAAATGATCTCTGAAGCTACATGCTATATGCAGTGGTCTGAACTTTTCATATTGATGTATTACAGGCTCTGCTGATTTCAGCACAAAGAAAGAAGTCTTCGATAGGGTCATGGGTGTTCGAAGGCTTCAAGAGGAGAAGAAGATCCTTGTGAAAGAAATGAAGCAGCACTGGGAGTCTCTCAAAGCCCATGCCAGGGTCTTGTCCGAGTTGTCTCAGCATCAGAGTGAAGACGCCATGCAAAGTAAATGCGGCCTTGTACTTAATTTTTTTAAATTTGAATGTTTCACAAAGTTATGTTTAAATTGTGAAAGACATGTTATTTACCTGGATAGTGACATATTTTATCCCTTCTTAAGGACATCTCACAGAGAAAGCAACAAAGGGTCACACCTGCCTCATCCTCAGAAGGCAGTGGGAAATGAGAGAGCTGAAGCGGCATACAAGAAAACACTACCTGCATGTGCTGTCATCAGCAGATGACATAATGGACACAATGGACAGTTCAGATGAGTTCGACATTAGCTGTGAAGATTCAGAGTCTGATGCAATGTAAAACAGGAAGATGTGGTGCTCATGATCACAGTGCACCGTGTGCGACACATGGTCACACAGAGCATGTGGCTTTAAAAAAGCCACATGCTCTTAAAAACTAACGTATGTGCTCATTGTCAGGATTAAGTTGGAGATGACAGTTGTAGTTGTATTAGGTTGTTGTTATTTCTGCATTTGGTTTTGAAATGTTTAATCACTTATATAAGGTTTGATTTTTCTACTGGGTTGTGGGAAGTTCCTGGTTAATGTTGTCTTACATCTTTACAACACAAACCACTGTCCTTTACTGTCTTATCTTTGATTCACGTTCAGTTCTGCATCTTTTCAGGGATTTTCTTTCCAGTTGATCTTTACTGTTTGATTAATAATTGTTCTTTAATGTTTAATTAAACAAAGGCACAATAAAGCTACATTTCTGATTGAGTCCTTGGATGTTACTACTGTTTTAGGTTAGACTTATTTTATCTGAGCAATTCCCACATGCTTTCAGAGTACATGAATTCACTATATGGCAAGAGGAGAGATTCAGAGGAAGGACTAGTGACATGGGATTTTCAGAATCAAGTTTTCAATAACATGAACTGTTTTAATGCAATTATATATTATAACATCCAACTTTACACAGGTTGAATGATTTGTCAAAATGTATGTAACATGTAAAGAAAAGACTTAAAGACGTAAAAGTATCTCAAATTTGTACTTAATTACAGTACTTGAGTAAAAGCACTTTATTACATTCCACCACTGGTGACACATTGACACAAAGACATATGCAAAGCACCCGGTAGATTCAAATGACTATAATTAGGATTATGACCAAAAAATATTTATATATATTACCGCCCCCCACACAGACACACGGGCATGGGCCTGCAATCTACAAGTGCATGACCATAAAGTAGATTTTTTGGAGGATGTGGTGGCATATTAGAGGTTTTGAGAGTGCTGCCTGTTGAAGAATGCTCTTTATTATTATTTATGTGGTGCATCACTTGACTGTATTCTCCTTTAAATATGTGTTAGTGTTAGGCAACATGGGCCAAGTGAGTGCCCTGCCATGGGGGTATGCGATGTTGGCATGTCCGTGGCGAGAGGACCATTGTCTCATAATCTGCCTATGGGTAAAATAAGGTCTACACTAGCCCAGATCCCAAATGATGAATGTGATTAGGAAAAACATCAATACCTTGAAGGTTTTTACCAAACATATAAGCAAAAAATCCAAAAACTTGAGTTCATCCAGGCTGGAGTCTCAAATGGTCTCAGAAACTACACCTGAAAGAGGCTGGCACCAAACAGAGGTGAGAATTAAACTTTGTCCTGGAACAAAATTAAATACATTTTTGGAAAGGCCTTGTCCTGGTGAGTAACATATGTCAGTTTGAAGATTTTAAGTGGCTCCTACTGTGAAATATTGACCTCTGAACCTTGACCTCAGTGCATATTGGAAGGCTTGTCATTCAGCAACAGAAGAGGCTACAGACATGGGACCAACTGTTTTAGAAAGCTCTTGACTTCAGCTGTGTGACTATATTCATATAAATATAGTCACCAAGTGGGGGCACTGTCATGTATGATCAAAATTAATTTTCACCAATTTAACAATTGCATATTTACAATCTGATCACATAAATGTGTTTCCCACCCCTTTAAATCTATCAGTATAGTGTTAATTTAATATTTACAATTTCCATTTTTAGGAAATGTACCATTAAAAACAAAAACTACAATTCCCTTGTGCCGCGCCATGCAGCTTGATACAAATAAGCACCATGTTTGTAGTTCTTCTGGTTTGCAAAGTATTGTTAAGAATAGGGTCGTAAAAAGATATATTTAATGAATATATCGAACATTAAGTGCAGCCGAATCAGTAATTACACTCCATCTTTGTGATTAATTTTAAGAAAAAGTAAAGATGTTGGCTTATGTCAGATATACTAACTGTTATTCTATAAATGTGGATTTGGGTTAGCTAGTTCTTCCGGTTTTCAAAGTAGGGTTGTAAAATAGGGTCATAATATCAGACATCTATTGAATATATCAAACATTTAGTGCAGCCGAATTAGTAATTACACTTCATCTATATGATTGATATTTTAAAAAAGTTAATATGTTTATTTCAGATAGTTTTACAGCCGCTTCATATATTTTTTTCTGTTTTCTTTTTTGACTTCTTTTTTAATTTACATATATACATGTTTTTAAATTCTCTTTACTGAAATACTGTTTCTTATGTTTTATGATTTAAAGTGCAAGCGACGAGAAGTGACGTCATTCACCATGTCTCGTTCGCGGTACTTGGTAACGCGGGTACTGTCCTGTCGTCGCGGGAAACGGAGAGAAACACAGGTTTAGAAAATGTTTAGTAGAAGGAAGAAACAGGTAAGAAACACAGTTAATGTTTTGAGTGTGTACCTAAAAATGTAAACTATAAAACAATATAGTTTGTATATTTAGAGATGCAGCAATATTACTTTTGTGCTACAGGTATAACACATTAAAAACGTTTCAATATAACATCAGTTTTGGTTAGCTAATGCATGCTATGTTATGCACATTATGCTGGTCAACGGGGAAATTGGTGTGTGCTATCGAGATTGCTAGCTGTATTTAGACAGCCCTTGCAGTCAATTGTAACTTAGTTCTTTTCATGTGTCACACTCTTATTTGCTTTTCCATTCATCTTGCTCTCAAAGTCATGATGAAGCCCAAAGCAAGAAGCTGCCCCTATTGTGGAGCAAGCATCATGCCAATCAGAAGACCTGTGCCAGCTGCTGTGTTTGCCTCCTGCAAAAAAAAGTCATTCAAAGAAAAAGAAAAGGCAGTGAGTATTGACTTTGATGTGTTGTAGTGTGCATCCATTGTATTCATTAAAGGTTGTTAAACATAATGCTGCCACTTTATATGAGCCACCTCTAACCTTAAATTTAGCGAAAGATTCAGAATGAGTTGGCTCATTATTGACATATGGGCTTGTGGTCCAAATAGCATTTTTTTCTGATCAATAGCACATTTTTCACCAATGAGGAGAGAGCTAGGCCCGGTTCCAGAACCAAATGACTTCAGGTGCATCTCAATTTAGTGGTGGTACCCTAGTAGTTACAGTGCAAGCTGCCAACAGCTATTAAAGTAGAGCAGTGTATGATGATCCAGAGTTGGGTCCCAGATAAACAGATTATGCTGAACACAGAAGAATAAAGTTGTAGACAGCAGTAAGTTAAACAGGGTGTCAGTCATTTTCAGCAACAGTTTGCTTTACGAGTCAGAAGGACACCCATACCCTCAAACTCCAGTCCTCAGAGGAATCATGGCTAAATACTGTGACCAGTGCAGTGCAAACACATTTGTATATCATTAATTACTAAACTATGTGACCATGTATGAGGTGGGATACATTAGAATTCCAAATAAAACAGTCTTTGTCCGAAATAATCATATAATCAATCAGTTTATATATTATTATATTAACTATTTATGGGAAAATCATACTTCATTTGTCATTGGCTGCAGATTGGTGGTGAGGTGTGTTCATGTTGTGACTCTCTGAACCATCCAGACATTTCCTGAGACGAAGATTTCTATTTGTTGAGCTGTTGCTATCATGTTTAACTGATTAGCTCAGTTGTTTCAGAGCTCTGAGACCAGTGATGTGACAAGCTGGGAGAGTATTTATTAATCACCACACCCGCTGACCTTTATTAATCTTCATCCAACTCTTTTGCTGATTGAGCTGCTGGTGAGCATGAAGATGCCCACGCGTCCATGTCCATGTGCCAGACCACCTTATGCTTGGCATTAATATGCAATTTGAACTGAAAGTGCAAAATATTAAAATGAGGGTGCAATGCATGTGTTTGCATCTCCGAGGGAACTAAACTAAAAAGAAATGGAGGGAAAACTTGTTTTGGCCATGTCTGTCTCCTGAGCTTTATGATATTTCAGACAGAAACTATAATAACAGAGACAGTGAACTCTCTGTTAACATAGCATTTGTTTCTCTCAATGCACAAGTGCTTCATCCCAGCGCTCCACAGAACCCTGTCCACACTTTTCTGTCTGAAAGAATGTTATATGTACACACACCTACAGTTCATTAGAAAACTCTCAAGAAACCCTTGAAAAAGATTATAGACATTAGCAAACACTGGTGCACACATAACATTCAAATAAAGTGAAAAAATTGTAACATGTCAGTGTGTAATAATAATGCCATGTTAACATTTTGTGTAATTGTGTACATTTCAGGTGAGCAAGCTTGCTGCCTTTGGCTACAACCCAATTTTGTTCATCAGGAAGTAGAAGAAGAGGGTGAACACAGTAAATGCTGAAATGATCACCTACATGTGCCCTGGAGGGGACGGGCCTGTAAAACCCTTCTTAGAAAAGATGAGCAGGTCATATGAGTGCATTATTAAAAGTAAGGCAAACATCTGTTTTTATGATTTATGCTTTGGGATGTGCTGTCATTGTGAGTAATATTTATATTTATATTATTTCAGATTCTCAAAGGATACAATTGCCAGAAGCTCCCAGCCCATCTCCAACTCCACAGTCTACCACCTCTCCCTCCCAACCCTCTTCTCCTCCTCATCCTCCAGACCCTTCCACCTTTCTCCCATCTCATCTCATCCCCAAATGGACTATGAGGAGGAGACTTACACCCTAACCCTCGTCCCTGTCCAGCCTCCAAGCACCGCCTCAGCATCTCCCTCTCAAAAAACCATGACTGAAAGTGAGTGTTAGCATTAATCACCTTCTGCCATATTTTAAGTAATATGTCTAAAGTCATCCACCTTTGTCACAGGTGTGTCTGCACAGTGCTCCTGCTCTCCCACACCTACTATCTCCTTGACCAGTGCAACAGGTGAAGGGAAGAAAAAGAGGAAGAGAGGTATTTTTTTGTTTTTGTGGTACAGCCTACTCATCAAATTAAATGTGCAATGCAATTCCTTGATAGCAGCATGATAATATTGTTTGTGTGCATGTAGACACAATGAACCAGACACCTGGAAAGAGGGATGCAAGACTTTTCGGAGAACAGTTTTTTTCCCCCTAATCCCTGTTATTATCAGTAACAATAAAAAACATAAAGGATTACTCACTAACTTGTCCTCATCTACAGGTAGAAGATAAATTATTCATGAGATAAAACAAAAACTAATATATGAGACAAGATGGACACTCTTTCTCTTCCTCTATGCATCAGCATTGTACAGCTCAACTCTACTCTATTCACTTTTGGGTCCTCGACTTCCTTTTCCACTGTAGATAGAACTTTGGATGGGACCCCTCAATGTAGGCAGAGGTGACTGTCAGAGCAATGAAGTTGGGAAACAAGCTTTACTTTGGTCTTGAGAAGCTGCAGCCTTTCTTTATTGACAGACTCTAAGCTACACTGTACATTTACTGCCACACTGACAACACACTACGCACATAAACAGCTACGCTACTCATAACAGAGGATATGAAGCTATGTTCTTGACAAGTCTGGACTTTGTCAGTTGACCACAGCATGGTGTTGTGGGCTGCCATTTTTGAGTGAATAAAAAAAACTTAACTATTAATGATAGTTTGGCTTTTTAAAAATCTAGGCTTTATGCAGGACGTCAACTGTCATGTGACTAATGAGTGGTGGGCAGTAATGTCACACCACCTTTTAGTATCAGCTCAGCTAGCTCGGAACCTTGACCAAGGTGTACCAGGTCCACAATAACAATCAAAGAACAGTAAATAGGTGAGATATCATGATCAAGAAGGTGGTTCAAACCCAGGGTGAAGCTCAGCCATTGCTTCAGTTGTGCTGACCCCTGTGAATTCCTGACAGTGGAAATGCAGCTGTATTCACCTGGGGGATGTCAAAGCCTGTTTCTAAATGTATTCTCCTTCTTTCTTCTTTTCTTTTTTTTGCATAATTTTAGGCTACCGAAAATGTTAGAAGCAAATAATATTTCACTACAATGAAATAAAAGAAACAACTAAAGGAGGTAAGATGTAACTGACTGAGTGAAATAGCAGTTCATTTAAGAGTGGTTGCTGGAATGGCTAACACTTCTTTTTGTCTGTGTTTCTGTGTGTGAGAGAAGAGGTAAAAGTGAGCTGGCTGCCTTGTTCCTCGTGGTAAGAGCTCAGAACTTTGACCCACATTATCTGATTTTAAAGCTTTTTCTACAGTATGCTTTATAAATATATATGTACTTACTTCCATACTGGTTAGTAGCAGGCTTCTGAAAAACCGATCCGAAGTCATTTGTTGTTCTATGATACCCCATTGATATAAACTAATATTGTGGTATATGCAATGATCTTACACTTGTTTGCATTCATTCTTTTTTTTCAGTGGCAAAACTTGGGAAGACACCTGGGAGCCTGCCAGCAACTTTATAGGCTCCATTTAATGTTTTTGTTTGTGTGTCTTTAGGACACCTGTATGTTGAATGTTGATCTCTCTCTCTCTCTCTCTCTCTCTCTCTCTCTCTCTCTCTCTGCATGAATAAAAATAAAGATTTGTTCATTTGTTTTATTTCAGTTAAGTTTGTTTGCCTTTTTCATTACATTTTGAATGTTTCTTTCACACACTCATCCACATCTCCTTTAGTTTTTAATATGCAAGTCATATATACAATGTTATATCATAAGCAATGAAAAAAATATACATAGGGATGTGTAAAAACATCAGTATGTACAGAATCAATGGAGCAGGAGTATATGCAGTCAGTGTTTGAGTGAAGAAGACTAATAAATATGTCCATGAATATTTGTTCATGTATGAACAGTGTTGTTACTGTCCGTGATGTGCCATGTTAATTAAACTTAAATTATATTTATATTTAACATATTCATATTTCATATTTAATTATATTTAACGGCACTGGCAGTGGCTAAAGTAAACCAATGTGACACACAGACAGGAAATGACTAAAACCGCTCTGTCGTCCAATGGATTGTATATTTGAATGTTTTTTCAATAATGATTTTAAGAAGAAATCTACAACAAACGCAGAGGAATAAAAAAGAAACGCATTCATATTGTGCTTATAAAATCCTGTGATTTGATGAATAAAATATGCTTCATCTATACAGAATATTAGATTATTGGCCGTTTGGGTTTTATAAAACTCTCCGTTTACAGTTTCTAGCTGGTAGAATTTATCTGTTGTCTGTGGACAAGTAAAATATTAGCAGAGGTTCAGTTATAAGTATATAATAGATAATAAACATTATAATAAACATGAAACGTTTCTCTTCTGGCTTTATTTTGACAGTGCCACGGTCTCATATCAGCCGGTCCTCCGCTCAGCCAAACACAAAGGTTCCGGATTTAATATTAAATTACGAGCAAACTCTGAAATGTACGTTTTTTATTTTTAAGATCGTGATTGAGCAGTTACATAAAATAACACGAATAACATTACAGCTCCGATGCAATTATTAAAACAATATTCACGTGTTTTAGCGATAAGACGCCCATAGCAACTGCATAGCAACCATAAACAGAACAGACACCATAGAAGCCTGAAAAAACGAAACATCAAAGGCATTCATTCCACAGAGATTATGGAAATAATGTACACATTTCCCGCTAGAAATGTTATCACAACGAACTCTAATGCCAAAAATATCTTAAAATGTTGTTTTTCCACTGAAAATAAAATGCAGCCAGAAATCTGACAGTCACGTGACTGCTCTGCTGGATAACACACCTTCTGTACCTGCTGGGTTTGAATAGTATTGGATCAGCCAGATGAATGGGTGATAACTGCCTCCTGCACCTACTAGTAGGTAGAGTAGACCCCTACTGGCCCCTATCTGTGGGATGATTTTATCAGGATAACGCTTATTCAATGGTATAATAAC